GAACAGGCGGAGATCATACAAACTCCACTCTCTCACTCTGTAGAACAGGGGAGATCATACAAACTCCACTCAGTAGAACAGGGGGATCATATAAACTCCAATCTCTCACTCTGTAGAACAGGGGGAGATCATACAACTCCACTCTCTCACTCTGTAGAACAGGGGGAGATCATACAAACTCCACTCAGTAGAACAGGGGGAGATCATACAAACTCCACTCTCTCATTCTGTAGAACAGGGGGAGATCATACAAACTCCACTCACTCGCTCTGTAGAACATGGGGAGATCACACAACCTCCACTAACTCACTCTGCAGAACAGGGGGAGATCATACACACTCCACTCACTCACTCTGTAGAACAGGGGGAGATCATACAAACTCTACTCTCTCACTCAGCAGAACAGGGGGAGATCACACAACCTTCACTCACTCACTCTGCAGAACAGGCGGAGATCATACAACTCCACTCACTCACTCTGTAGAACAGGGAGATCACACAAACTCCACTCACTCTGCAGAACAGGGGGAGATCATACAAACTCCACTCTATAGAACAGGGGAGATCATACAAACTCCACTCACTCTCTCTGTAGAACGGGGAGATCACACAAAACTCCACTCACTTACTCTGTAGAACAGGGGGAGAACATACAAACTCAACTCACTCTCACTCTGGAGTACAAGAGGCGCCATAAATGTTAGGCGCAGGTGCAAGTGGCCTCTTGCGTTTTGGCCTCGCAGGCGAATTTAGAGGGGGCAGTGAGGGCAGGGAAGGGAGAGATCCAAAGCTGTAGGTGAGCGGAGCTCCGAATCGATGGGAACCCCCAAGGCTTCGCACGCACCATGGCCACCGCCATCACCGCCGTCATCACCGTCACTAAGTAGATCTTGATTGGATCGGCTGTGGATTGTGGGGTCCGCTGGCGATGTTCAGCGTGCAGCTTGCCTCAATTGCCCACTCCACTCTGTCCCCGTCGCTCCCCCCACGCCACGTGTGCCCCTCTGTGAGGGGTCACTCCGTTCCTCGGCCCCTTTGCGCTGCCCGCCTTGACATCGGAATCCCTCCGTGGGTTTGGCACCGTTGTGTGGCGGGGGAGGAGGGGGGGGGTTCGGGCGCAATTGAAAAGAAAAAAATGTATAAATCGTGACCTCCTCCCGCCCACTCCCTCACTTCTCGTGATGATCACAGGCGTAAGATAAACTTGGCTCCTTCACCACCACCACCACTGGCGTCTTTGTCGTGTTGAAGAGGAAAGGGGAGGTGGAGGAGGAGGCAGTCCTCCGTTATCATCTCCCTCTATCGTCCTCTCTCCATCGTCTCCCGTCCGGCGGCGTGGAGTTCCTGGAGACCGCAGGGGGCCGTGAGATGTCGCGCAAAGGGGACGCACGGAGCGGAGACGGAGATACGGCTGGGGGTGAGGACTCCATAGACTCAGCACTGCCCATAGACCAACACTACCATAGACTCAACACTGGGTTCATAAACTCAGCACGCCATAGACTCAGCACTGCCATAGACTCAGCCACTGCCACCCAGGACTCAGCACTGCCATAGACTCAGCACTGCCATAGACTCAACACTGTCCATAGCTCAGCACTGCCATAGACTCACTTTCACAGACTCAACACTGCCACCCACAGACTCAGCACTGCCATAGACTCAGCACTGCCATAGACTCAGCACTGCCATAGACTCAACACTGCCACCCATAGCCTCAGCACTGCCATAGACTCAGCACTGCCATAGACTCAGCACTGCCACCCATAGACTCAGCACTGCCATAGACTCAACACTGCCACCCATAGACTCAGCACTGCCATAGACTCAGCACTGCCATAGACTCAGCACTGCCATAGACTCAGCACTGCCACCCATGGACTCAGCACTGCCATAGACTCAACACTGCCACCCATAGCCTCAGCACTGCCATAGACTGAGCACTGCCATAGACTCAGCACTGCCATAGTCTCAGCACTGCCCCCATGGACTCAGCACTGCCCATAGACTCAGCACTGCCCATAGACTCAGCACTGCCCATAGACTCAGCACTGCCCATAGACTCAGCACTGCCCATAGACCCAACACTGCCCATAGACTCAACACTGCCCATAGACTCAACACTGCCCATAGACTCAACACTGCCCATAGACTCGGCACTGCCCATAGACTCGGCACTGCCCATAGACTCGGCACTGCCCATAGACTCGGCACTGCCCATAGACTCGGCACTGCCCATAGACTCGGCACTGCCCATAGACTCGGCACTGCCCATAGACTCGGCACTGCCCATAGACTCAACACTGCCCATAGACTCAACACTGCCCATAGACTCAGCACTGCCATAGACTCAGCACTGCCACCCATGGACTCAGCACTGCCATAGACTCAGCACTGCCATAGACTCAACACTGTCCATAGACTCCACTGCCATAGACTCAGCACTTTCACAGACTCCACTGCCACCCATAGCCTCAGCACTGCCATAGACTCAGCACTGCCATAGACTCAGCACTGCCATAGACTCAGCACTGCCACCCATGGACTCAGCACTGCCATAGACTCAACACTGCCACCCATAGCCTCAGCACTGCCATAGACTGAGCACTGCCATAGACTCGGCACTGCCATAGTCTCAGCACTGCCACCCATGGACTCAGCACTGCCCATAGACTCAGCACGTCCCATAGACTCAGCACTGCCCATAGACTCAGCACTGCCCATAGACTCAGCACTGCCCATAGACCCAACACTGCCATAGACTCAACCTGCCCATAGACTCAACACTGCCCATAGACTCAACACTGCCCATAGACTCAACACTGCCCATAGACTCACACTGCCCATAGACTCAACACTGCCCATAGACTCAACACTGCCCATAGACTCGGCACTGCCCATAGACTCGGCACTGCCCATAGACTCGGCACTGCCCTAGACTCGGCACTGCCCATAGACTCGGCACTGCCCATAGACTCGGCACTGCCCATAGACTCGGCACTGCCCATAGACTCGGCACTGCCCATAGACTCGGCACTGCCCATAGACTCAACACTGCCCATAGACTCAACACTGCCCATAGACTCAGCACTGCCCATAGACTCAACACTACACCAAAGACTCAACACTGCCCATAGACTCAACACTGCCCATAGACTCAGCACTGCCCATAGACTCAACACTGCCCATAGACCAGCACTGCCCATAGACTCAACACTACACCAAAGACTCAACACTGCCCATAGACTCAACACTGCCATAGACTCAGCACTGCCACCCATGGACTCAGCACTGCCATAGACTCAACACTGCCCATAAACTCAACACTGCACCATAGACTCAACACTGCCCATAGACTCAACACTGCCATCGACTCAGCACAGCAGCAGTCCGAGTCTCTGCTGCGTTTCGCTCGCCACAGGTGAGGAGGAGGAGAAGGAGGAGGCTGCTTCCTCTCTGCCCGTGGAGCCTTTCGTCGTTAAGCGAGAAGAAGAAGACGGCGACAATGAAGATGGTAGCGACGAGAACCCTTGGAGTGACGCGTGGCTCAAGGTGACAGTGAAGACGGAAGACTCCGATGACCGTGAGTTCCCTCTGCTGAGCTCGAACTCTACCGCCTCCCATTCCTCTTCTAGGCAATGATGATCAACAGCTATTACATCTCGTTGCGATTGCAATGTTACTAAATCTGAAGTAAACGAAGGCTTTTAATTATTTACTTAGACCAGGTCAGGCCCACCCAGGTCTCAGCGCTCCATCGTCAGGAAGTTGCTGCCAGGTTTTATCGTAGTAGGCAGTGATAACTATTTAAACTAATAACAATTCAAATGCACAATTGCGCATTCCATCCTAGGTTCTAGATTTGAAGCTTTTGTGACTGCAAGGATTCATACTCTTTGGTTTTTTTGGTAAAGTCACTTAGGTTAAAAATAATAATTAAATAATAATAATAAATAATGATAAATGAAAATAACTCAATTAAATCACGACGTTTCGGAGGCAACCAAGTCTCCGTTTTCAGGTGGGACTGTCACAGCCAAATTTACTGTATTCAGTATATAAGATATGGTCCCTTGGATTTCTCTTCACTTGATTACAGTAAATTTGGCTGTGACGGTCCCACCTGAAGATGGATACTTGTGTTGCCTCCGAAACGTCGTGATTTAATTGAGTTATTTTCATTTTTATTGTTTTATTTTATTATTATTTTTTACCTACGTGACTTTACTGAAAAAACCCAAGAGTATGAATCCTTGCAGTCACGAAAGCTTCAAATCTAGAATTAAGACCCATAGAGACTCATCCTCATCAAGCCCCTGAGTCAAACCATCACCACAATGATAGTAGCTCAACCTAGCGGCTGATATCATCATCGTCGTCGTGTTGACATTTCTAGCAGTGGGCTTTACTTGGTAAAATAACAAAAAGTTAACTTCGAATTTTGTGTTCGTGATTGCTTACCTTTCCTGCACTTTGCCATCCTATGGTGCGTTTATTTATTTATTCGTGAGTTTGTTTTGGTTGCACACAAGGTAAAGAGCTTTGTAGATTATCGGATTACCCCCCTTCCCTCTCCGCCTGCTGCGGTTCTGAGGAGGGATTCGTTGGGCGTAATTGGTCCGTCTCTGTGTTCCCCCCCCCCCCACCCACTCCTCAACCCCTTCGCTCTTCATTCCACCCCCCCCCCCCACTCAGCGCTGGGAGCCGGCGTTCGGGTGAAGGAGGAGCTCCGAGGACAGGCGCCGGACACGGAGGGACTTGGAGGGGAGCGCCACGGCCTTCGTGTCGTCAAGGTGGACCTCCAGGCCGACGGAGGAGTCCTGAAGGGGCTCGCGGCGGCGGCTGACGGTGGCGGTGACTGTGGCGGTCGCGCCGATGGTGGCGGAGGCGGCGATGCTTCCGGGGCGAGGCGCGAAGGAGGAGATTGCCGGGTCGCGTGTGCGGGAGACTGGAGGACGGCCCGTCAGGCGTGGCGGAGATCGAGGTGGAGGTGGAGGAGGATGATGGTGAAGGTAATTATGGAGGGAGCCTCCTGTAGGGCAGCCGTGGTGGCTAGGTGATGTAAACTCCCTCGCCTGATCTGCAGGAGGTCGTGGGTTCGGTCCCGAGCCTGACTACGCCTGCTGTATATTTGGAGTCTGTGTCTCTCCACACACACACACTCAGCACACCAAGCACACACAATGCCACACAAACGCCCACAAAACACACACACACAACGCACACACAACACGCACAACAGACAGTTCTCACGGCCAATCAAAAACCGTTCTCCCCCGGCAGAGCAGCGGGGGGCGGCGTGCGACGTCCCGAGGGGTCACCCGGCTGTCCTTCGTGTGGCCTCGGGGGAGGAGGAGAGGCTTCCGACGCCTTTGTCAGCCACTTCGTACGAAGGAGCTTCCCTCTAGCGGGGCTCCCGGCTGCCACCTCCTCCTGCGGTCGCACGCAGAGACGCGCGATGGCGGCAACCCCGCCCCGCCGCAAACCTCCCCGCCCGCCAAGACGGCCGGAGAGGCCCTGCCGCACGCCTGCCCCACGTGCGGCAAGGGCTTCGTCCGCGCGGCCCACCTCAGGAACCACGTGATGACCCACACGGGCGAGAGGCCCTACAGGTGTCAGGCGTGCGGCAAGGGCTTCATCCAGTCGGTCCACCTCAAGGTCCACGAGCTGAGCCACACGGGCGAGAAGCCCAGCGCCTGCCGCCTGTGCGGCAAGGGCTTCATCTGCCCGTCCAAGCTCAAGGTGCACATGCGCACGCACACGGGCGAACGCCCACCGCTGCGACGTCTGCGGCGGCTTCATGCAGGCGTCGGTGCTGCGGGGCACATGCGCACGCACACGGGCGAGCGGCCGCATCGCTGCGGCGTGTGCGGCTGTGGCTTCGCGCAGGCGTCGTACCTCAAGGTGCACGCGCGCACGCACACGGGGAGCGGCCGCAACGAGTGCCCCGTGTGCGGCAAGCGCTACGCCGACCCGTCGTACCTCAGGAGCCACGTTGCGATGCACAACGGCGAGGACCCTCACCGGTGCCGCGTGTGCGCAAAGAGCTTCACGCACGCCAAGGTCCTCAAGCGTCACATGGCGACGCACGCCGGTCCGCTGACTGGTATCGGGTGCGGGCAGCCGCGACCGGAGGGTCGGCTTCCACCGGCGGCTTTGCGCTCTCCGTGTATTGGCGAGGGAGGGGGAATCTACGCGAAGGCGGCCGGTAGGGTTAGGCTCAGATCGGAGGGATTGTTCGTCATTTCGTCGCTCTTTAGAGGGATTCTGATTGTCGTGGTGAAGTCGCCATCCACCCCGACCTCTTACGACCCCCGCACACCCCAAGCCTCTAACGCCCCACACCCACCACTGCCCCTACTGCTGCCTGCTCGCGTCACCCTCCATTCCACAACAGCCACCAACCACCCAAACCAGCCCTACCCCCCATCCGGGGGGAAGGGGCGGGCCTAAACAAAGAGGGGGCATGGCCCGAAACAGGAAAAAAGGTTGTGGCCTAAACAGGACAAGGCGTGGCCTAAACAAGAAAAGGCGTGTCCTAAACGGAAAGGTGTGTCATGAACCGAAGAGGCGTGGCTAAACAGGAAGAGGCGGGAACTAAGAGGAAGTGGCGATGCCTTAAAGAGTGCACAGAGCTGACCAATGGAGAGTAAACGGACCTAATCAGGAAACGGCGATGGCCAATAACAGTGAAGTGCCACGCTGACAGGTGTAGCCGGTCCACCCTGTCCCCTCTCCTCCTGCTCCCCCTCTCCTTGAGAGGGGTACAGGTCGGCTGAATAATCAGCAGCAACAACAACGATGATGATACAAATAAAACAAGTTCTGAGACGATGGCTATGGACTCTGCTTTGTGGGCGAATGCAAGACCTGAGCACCGGGGGGGGGGGGGGGGGGGGGGGGGGGGGGGGGGGGGGGGGGGGGGGGTTGCGATCATGGTGAAACTTCATTTCAAAGTGCTTTTCTGAAGAACAGTTGTGTATCTGCATACATGTCGACCGCCTATCAGTGCCTTACCTTATTACAGACCAATCAGACATCATTGGTCACCCCGTGCACCTTATAATCTCAACGTTCATCCGACAAAGTCCCATGACAAGGGAGAAACACAAACAAATAGACAAAAAACATCATCATTTTTTTCCCCGTATGAAACGGCTGTATGCCCATATAGACCTAAAACTCCCTGTACAAGAATACGGGGTAAAATCATATGGGTTACAGGTATGCAGTAGCAATCAGAAACACCCTCCACGTCACCGCACCGCAGCTCGCTTTCTCAGTAAGGGAGTCAGCCCGAATCTCGATTATGATAGCAGCCACTTATCATATCCAAGAACGTTTAACGTACAAATTATTTAACAAACTTTTTAAGAAGAAACATTTTAACATTTGACATCAAGCATCTGCCCAAAGCACCTGTAGTGCCTCTTACCGTCCCGAGTAATACTGCATAAACGAAACAATGCCCTAGTTATTAAATTAGTAATACTGGTAGGAACCTCCTGGTTACACCACCCACAGGGGATTATTGTGTCCGTCCGTCGTGCATCCAAAAATGGGAGGGGTGGGGCTGGTGGAAGAGGGGAGGGTGGCGAGGGGCTGGGTGGGGAGGGTGGGGAGGGCTGGTTGGAGAGGGGAGGGAGGGGCTAGGTGGGGGGTGGGGCTGGGGTGGGAAGGGGCTGGTCACCCCGTGGTGCCCTTTAAAACTCAACGTTTAACCTACTCACGCCGGCTTGGTGCCCGCCCTAACAGTCGGCCATATTTGCGGAATACACCACGCCGCCTTTGATCCTGGCCATTGACCGAGCAACCCAACGTTCCTACCAGCTCCCTCTGCAGGAATGTGTTTAATACATCGACATTTATATCAAATTATATTAATGTGTTCTTGGTTCTTTCGTAAAGTCACGTAGAAGGAACAAAAAATAAAAATATCAAACAATAAAATTATCACGACGTTTCGACTGCAGCACAGCAATCATCATCAGGTGTGAAATCCACAGCAAGAACATTTTAAAAAAACGTGGCGGTTTCGGGTCTGAATTGATTTATTTTACGCTTACGGTGACTTCCAGACCGCATTCCATTCTCTTCCTCTCCACCCTCCTCTTTTCTGAACATAGATGGACTCGTCCATCTGAACAACTGCCAAAATCGCTGTCCGTGGTGTTGACGTTAAGAAAAACCGCCACTTTTTTTTTTTATTTTCTTGCTGTGGATTTCACACCTGATGATGATTGCTTGTGTTGCATTCGAAACGTCGTGACGATTTTATTGTTTTATTTTATTATTTTATTGTGTCCCTTCTACGTGACTTTACCGAAAGAACCAAAAATATGAATCCCTGCAGTCATGAAAGCTTTAAATCAAATGTTATATTAATGTAATTCATAGATATGATTTATATTAATATAATTTGAGAAACAATATTTACTGACAATAAACGTAGAAAACAGTTATTATTTCTTACTGATGGAAAATACCTGGCGTTGCCCGAGTAATTGCGGCTATCTTTTGTGAATGTAGAGTGTAAATTGTGATTTAAAGCTTTCACGTAGAAGGGAAACAATAAAATAATAAAATATAAAACAATAAAATTCTAACGCCTTTACCGAAAGAACCACACCAAGGGACGGATCAATCCGTTTCAAGGACAATGCATATATTATCATAGTGTGTTTTGTTTGCATTTTGACTGCAAGTATTGTGGTTAATGCAGACATGAATCCTTGTAAAAAGGTTTCAGTTTTGTTGCCAGAAAAAAAGGGGAAAAACCCTATTATTATATTTTGGTACTGGCAAAGGAGGTCTAATGATGCAGTATTACTTATTTTATTTCTTATTGTATCTTTCTATCTACGTGACTTTACCAAGAGAACCAAGCAATATGAATTCTGTCAGTCAAGAAAGCTTAAGTGAAAACTTAATTACATCTCCAACCTCAGGATATCAAAATATAACTCGAGAATAAAAAGCACGGATCCCTGGATACAGACAGGGAGCAAAAGTTAATAAAACCCTTGAAATACCGGAGTAACATCTAATGGTACATTATAAATCTTGGTTAAACATAAGTCAAATAATCACGAGGTATTAGACCGGGGGTAACTCAAAAGAGATACAAGAATAATAGGGCAATCACACAAGACCAGATAATATGTATTCCATGGAATACACCCACACGGGCGAGCGGCCCCACGGCTGCCCGAAGTGCGACGCCGGCTTCATGCGCCCGTCGGAGCTGAGGCGCCATGTGGGCACCCACGTGGGCGAGCAGCCACACGCGGTGCGGAAAGTGCGGAAAGTTCTATGCAGACCGCTCGTACCTCAGGATTCACGCGATGATCCACACGGGCAAGAGGCCGCACGCCTGCCCCATGTGCGGCCGGGGCTTCGTGCACCCCAAGTTCCTGCGCAGCCACATGAAGAGCCACGAGGGGAAGAAGGGGGCGATGGAGGCCTCCCGAGCGTCGCACGTCTAAAGTAAATAAATGTCAATAATTTCATTTTTGTTGGTAAAATTTAAATATATTATGTTTCGTGTTGCTGGGTAAGCCACTTTGTTGAGCTATAATTTGAACGAAAACTAATAGCCTTTTTTTTATTTTCACCAGTTAAGCCCCCCCCCCCACACCACTACATTGGCAGTGGAGACGAGTCACCTCGATGATTATTAACGTCATATTAAAGTCTTCCTCCTTACTGCCCCGGCCGTAAAACTGCCACCCTTAGTCTCATCCCTCTTGCTGGCGACCCAAAACCTTCACTCACGTCACTCCCCCTTGTATAGTCGTGCTCTGATATCACTATTCAGCAGATGTAGATGCCACTGGTTCTTCATGTTCTGTAGATGTAGATGCCACTGTTTCTTCATGTTCTGCAGACGTAGATGCCACTGGTTCTTCACGTTCTGCAGATGTAGATGCCACTGGTTCTTCATGTTCTGCAGATGTAGATGCCACTGATTCTTCATGTTCTGTAAATGTAGATGCCACTGCTTATTCATGTTCTGCAGATGTAGATGCCACTGGTTCTTCATGTTCTGCAGATGCCATTGATTCTTCATGTTCTGTAGATGTCACTGGTTATTTAAGTTAGGCAGGCGTAGATGCCACTGGTCCTTCATGTCCTGCAGACGTAGATGCGACTGGTTCTTCATGTTCTGCAGATGTAGATGCCACCGATTCTTCATGTTCTGTAAATGTAGATGCCACTGGTTCTTCATGTTCTGCAGATGGAGATGTCACTGGTTCTTCCTATTCTGCAGACGTAGATGCCACTGGTTCTTCATGTTCTGCAGATGTAGATGCCACTGGTTCTTCACGTTCTACAGATGTAGACACTACTGGTTCTTCACGTTCTGCAGATGTAGATGCCATTGATTCTTCATGTTCTGCAGATGTAGATGCCACTGGCTATTCATGTTCTGCAGATGTAGATGCCACTGGCTCTTCATGTTCTGCAGACGTAGATGCCACTGGTTCTTCATGTCCTGCAGATGGAGATGCCACTGGTTCTTCATATTCTGCAGACGTAGATGCCACTGGTTCTTCATGTTCTGCAGACGTAGATGCCACTGGTTCTTCACGTTCTGCAGATGTAGATGCCACTGCTTCTTCATGTTCTGTAGATGTAGATCAGAATCAGAAAGGGGTTTTATTCGCCATGAAAGTTCGCACAGACAAGGTATTTACTTGGCCGGAAGGTGCATACATTCAACATATAGGAATCTTAAATCTTAAATAAGTGGTTTACAAGTCTAACTATACTAAAAGGTACAAGTCTAACTAATATTACGGAGCTAAACTATGTAAAAATTGAACAAAATAAAATCTAAAATATACAATAGCTATAATATACAATATAAAATTACAATAATGCAAATAGGGTAACATAATGCAAATATGGCAGGGTGTCATTGTGCAGATATTGTGTTAAAGTCAGTTGGAGCGTTAAAGTCAGTTTGAGCCCCTGGCCTTGTTGAAGAAGCCAGCAGCGGATGGGAAGAAACTGTTTTTGTGGCGTGAGGTTTTGGTCCTGATGGACCGCAGCCTTCTGCCGGAGGGGAGTAGCTGGAACAGAGAGTGTCCAGGGTGGGAGGAGTCGGCTTCAATCTTCCTCGCTCGCCTCAGGGTCCTCGAGGTGTACAGGTCCTCGAAGGTAGGCAGATTGCAGCCAATCACCTTAGCAGTGCGGATGATACGCTGCAGTCTGCTCTTGTCCTTTGCAGTGGGAGCAGCGTACCAGATGGTGATGGAGGAGGGGAAGATGGACTCAATGATGGTTGTGTAGAAGTGCACCATCATTGTCTTTGGCAGGTCGAATTTCTTCAGCTGCTGTAGGAAGTACATCCTCTGTTGTGCTCTCTTTATGAGGGAGCTGATGTTCAGTTCCCACTTAAGGTCCTGGGAGAGGATAGTGCCCAGGAAGCGGAAGGACTCATCAGTGTTGACTGGGGAGTCGTACAGGGTGATGGGGGTGAGTGGGGCTGTATTCTTCCTGAAGTCTACAACCATCTCCACTGTCTTAAGAGCATTAAGCTCTAAGTTGTTCTGGCTACACCAGGTCACCAGGTTGTCAGCTTCCCACCCATTGTCAGACTCATCCCCACCAGAGATGAGCCCAATGATGGTGGTGTCGTCCGCAAACTTCAAGAGTTTGACGGAGGGATGACTGGAGGTGGAGCTGTTGGTGTACAGGAAGAAGAGCAGAGGGGAAAGGACGCAACCCTGAGGAGGTCCGGTGCTGATGGACCGGGAATCAGAGACTTGTGTTCCCAGCCTAACGCACTGCTTCCTCTTTTTGGTTCTTTCGGTAAAGTCACGTAGAAGGGAAGTAATAAAATAATAAAAATAAAACATAATAAAATCAATAATTCTCACGACGTTTCGGCTACAACGCAAGCAGCCGTCTTCAGGTGAAGAATGAGACACTGCCAAGCTAGGAGCTTATATATAAGCTGAGTTGGAGGTGGAAGAAGAAGAGAGCCTTAACAAAAGAATGTGCATATCAAGAGGAATTTAGCATATTCATGGGAAATGCGTAGGAGGTGGGCGGGGGGGTTTCAAAGTCATATTATGCCCATGCATTATGCAGGATCAGCAGCACCAAAGGGAGGGGGGTAGCATTAACAAAGGGAGGGCATGTTAATAGTATGTAGAAGCAATGAAACATGTGAATGGGAAAACGGTGGCAGGGGATCCGCAGCGGAGCAAATAATGCCTTCCCTGTGGAGAACACAAAATACACAGTTAATGCCAGTGAGTGGACTGCGGTCTGAAAGTCACCATAAACGTGAACAACAATCAGTTAAGATCCGAAGTGGTTTATTACGTCCTTCCAATGATTGCTGAGCCAGAATCCATCTTCTCGTTTGAAATTGTCTCTGTGTTTGTATATGTGGATCGCCTCATGAACGAATCTCTCATGGTAGCCAGATGGCTTGCAGAGAACCTCTGTCTTGGAGAAGTCAATGTCATGTGAGCCCACTGAATTGTAACATGCCCTCCCCTTCCAGCCCCCTTCCCCAAAGCCACTTGGGTTGGAACCGCCACGCCTTTGCCAGTATCTTTAGCTAATCGGGATTAATTGACCGTTACGCAAAAAGTTAGGTTTTTAACGTATTGTAATTCGCAAGGCATGTTACCGTCGGAACATTATGACACGCAGTCGTAATTGCCACGTGTTGTATCTATACCCCCTTTTTATTTTTTTTATTATATTCATTAAGAATTATTCTGCCAATATATATAATACATTTTGTTAAATAGACACGGGGCAACTTGGGAACGAACACGCTCCCACACTTCCACAGATGCGCGCATACCTCACCTCAAAGGCCAGAAAGCATGAAAGAGTGCAATAAAAGGTCATAAAAACTCCCCCAATTTCACACAAGAGGAACAAGGGAGGGGGGAATTGCAAGCAGGGGTTAGGATGACATCCATTCTTTAAAAAGCCTTTACAAAACCAGGCCACGAAATATAATTATATTCTTAACAAAGACAACAACAGAAGCACAGACGGGTTTTGAACCATGTTAGATAAACAAAGTTACCAACTTAGCCATGAAAATTAAGCAAACAGTATCTATCACTCGCCAAGTGTTGACGCCATCTCTCCGAACCGCGCCGGGGTGAGCAGAGGGGGTCCATGGTCGCTCCTCGTCGTGTGGCGTAGTTTCAGTAACGCAGCAGTGTGCCCGTGGCGAGGCGCACAGCTGATGGCTGTCGGGCTTTTGCTCGTCGTCACCTGCGCAGCGCCACCCAAGCTCCCTGTTGTAGTGCGGTTCTATGAGTAACAGAGTCGTCGCTCGTTTGGGGGGGACGATTTCGAGAGGGGTTTTCGTGCTCGCGACTGAGCCGGCTCGTGTCAAGCCGCGAGGTGGGAGGCAGCGCTGGGGATGGCTCCAAGCCAGCAGTGGCGAGACCCGTGGTTGATTCTAATCATCACGAGCGCATTGCTAGCAGCTTGCCGCGTCAAGTAACGCGTCTCATTTACGAGTCCCGGGGTTTTGGGAATTTGGATTTCATTTGAGGATGCAGTGTGTTTGAGGGGAGCGGTGGCGCAGTGATTAGCGAACTGCGCTATGTTGGGGCTATTGGGGCGTTTGCTGTTGGGGCTGCGTGTACCCCGTAGTCGCCAGTTTACTGTACACCACGCCGCCGTTGACCCTGCAGGCCATTGACGGAGCAACCCAACGTTCCTACCAGCTCCCTCCGCAGGACAATGTGTTTAAATAAATGCTGACAACTGCTAGATGTTATTGACAGGGCTCCTCTAATGTATCGGTACTGTTTTCACAACAGGACAGCATATGCCCCTATGCATTTAATGTTATTATAACATTAACACACACCAATCATGGTAATAGGTGTGGCGCTGCAGGTTACTTTTTTTGATGGAGTTAAAGTGATTTGTGATCGCGGGCCACTGAGACAGACTCCATCTCCTCAGCAACCCGCGACCACCACCCATCGTTGCAGCGCCTTACGGCTCTCCGAACCTCCGAGCGAAGGCTGCGGTAAACCTGCTCATTCTCTGAAGTGGGATGCTGTAGCATCATTCTCGCTTGCAACTTTCATCAGCTAACAGAGACCAGGCCACTTTTGGTTGGAATGGGGTCCTGGGTGTACACCCACCACCGGAGTGGAAGAATGGCAGGCGCATCTTACAGATGACTAGTCGATGGTCAGAGGGCAGATCAGCTCCACGGTAGGTCCTGGTATCAAGGACATGGGCTCGCATCCGTCACTATGTAGTCCAGCTGATGTTCTTGCTTGGACCCGGCATGCATCCATGATGTTGTGTGGATGCGCCGATGCCGGAAGAGCGTGTTGGTACACACAAATCTATCAGCCTCCTACCGTTGTTATTGAGCTGATCTGGCCCATGTCTTCCAATTGTAGTGACATAAGAAGGGAGGGGCTGCTGTAGGCTCTGGGTTCCCAGGTGGGTCCAGACGCGTAAGCCTCTGGGCACC